TATAGAAAACTTCAACACCTCAACAACAAAAAGAGAAACAATCCAATTTAAAAATGGGCAGAAGACATGAGCAGGCACTTCACCAAAGAAGACATTCAGGCGGCTAACAAACATATGGATGCTCGCAATCATTAGCCATTCCAAACCCATTGCTGTCAAGTCATTTCCAACTCATAGCGACCCTATAGGACAGAGCAGAACTGCCCCATAGGGTTTCCAAGGAGTGGCTGGTGGATTTGAACTGCTGAACTTTTGGTTAACAGCCAAGCTCTTAACCACTGCAGACAGGTGTTAATTTTGGTGAAGGGAAACACAATACACAATAAGGCGGAAGTCAGCACCACCTGACCAAGGCAAAGGATGGCACTGAGAGGTACACAAGAATAAAGGGCAACTATGGTAAATACTATAGCACACACAATCCTGCAACAGCAGTAATAACAAACAGTAATTTATGAGTGGATACGTAGGTAGATATGTATGCTAAATAGGTGTGAGAGGTCATACACGAGTACATCCACATGCATAAATAGGTATGGTTGTGGATATTTCTACATACATATTTATATATACTGCATGTATATTCATATATATAATAGAGTACATAGGAGGAACAGTTATGGAAACTTCTTAGACATAACCAAATGCCTCATGGAACCGATATCCTGGGATTGAGGGCTTAGGACCATAGTCTTGGGGCATATCTAGGTCAATTGGCATAATAGAGTTCATAAAGATAATGTTCTACATCCTACTGTGGTGAGTAGCAACTGGGGTCTTAAAAGCTTGCATCATCATCTAAGATACAACTATTGGTCTCCTCTTGTTTGGAGTAAAGGAGAGTGAAGAAAACCAAAGACTCAAGGAAGTAATTAGTCCAAAGGGCTAATGACCCACATGAACCATAGCCTCCACTAGCCTGAGACCAGAAACTAGACGGTGCCTGGCTACCACTACCAACTGCTCTGACTAGGAAGACAATGGAAAGCCCCAGCTAGAGTGGGAGAAAAACGTAGAACAAAATTCAAAATTCGTAAAGAAGACCAGACTTACTGGTCTGATAGAGACTGAAGGAACAACCAAGACTATAGCCCTAAGACATCCTCCTAACATTGAACTGAAGCGACTTCTGGAGATGATCTTTCAGCCAAATAATAGACAGTCCTATAAAATAAACAGTAACACCCGTGAGGAATGTGCTCCTTAGAACAATTAAGACAGAGGTCCCCAGGCTGCGGAAAATTCCACTGCCTCAAGCAGTGTGCTTGGCATGCCCTGTAGCTTTACATTAATATCCTGGCTCCCTTTTCCTTAACCGCTGCTCAAAACTAGAGGAAATTGGAGGAAACCGGTTTAGGCACCACATTGACATTCAGGATAACCTTTTAGACCTCATGCATAGTAACCGCCCAGCCTCTGAGTGGAGTTTAACTGACATTTGCTGAACATGTGATGCACGAAGTTATATACAAACCCCACTGCACCTGTGTAGTATGATTAAGAATGCCACTAACGTAACTTGTATGAACTCCCTTCTTGTAAAACCCTTAAAAGTAATGTTTCTCCTCGCCCTCTCTGAGCAGTCTTGGTGGTAGCAGCCCCGACTGTTTCTTTTCCTTGTGCAACGAGATAAAGGTGCCTTTCCACTCTCCCGGCTTGTTCTCTTGTTTATCAACTAAAACAAGTCAGGCAGTGCTGAACCTGGGGTTTCCACTTGGCAACACAATCAACTCTCGGAGACCAAAAGGGCAACATTTGCCCAAAACCAAAGATGAGAAGGCAGGGAAACCCAATGAATGGGAATGAGGACCTTGGGGTGGAAATGGGGAGAGTTCCGACACATTGCGGGGGTTGCAACCAATGTCACGGAACAATTTGTGTATGAATTACTGAATGGGAAACTAAATTTACTATGTAAACTTTCACCTAAAGCACAATAAAATGTTCAAAAAAAAAAAAGGATTACAGTCTGGGAAACCCTATTGGGCAGTTCTACCCCTGTCATATAGTGTCACTATGAGTCAGAATTGACTCAATGGCACACAACAATCTTAACAGACAGCAATCTTAACGAGAGCGAGTCACCAGACCTCTCTTCTGTGGTGCCGCTGGGAGACTGTGAACGGCCAACCTTTAGGTTAACACATGAGAGCAAACCGTTAGCACCATCCAGGGGCCTATCCTTAGAATTAAACAAAAAAAAAAAAAAAAATAAAAAAAACTAAGTTGCCGAAAGTCACTTTCCACTCATAGCGACCCTATAGGACAGAGTAGAAAGGCACCATAGGGTTTCCAAGGCGCGCTGGAGGACTGAACTGCAGCCCTTTTGGTTAGCAGCAGAAGGGTACCACTGTGACACTGGGAAAATGGAATGCCAGCGCAGGCTCATGATAAATGGTAATGCTGACATATCTCTGATTCAAAGGCATGTGTTTTTTTCCTCTTAAGGCCTCTCACGGTTAAACTTTCAGGTTTAATAGTTGAAAAATAGTGAGATTCATCCCAATGCAAGAATAAAAATTAGGCAAACATGAGCAAAACATGAGTAAGAATACTGTTGTTTGAAAACATAACAGGCGAAGCAAAATTAAGCAAAAAAAAAAAAAAAAAGAGAAAAAAAAGCAGTAAACGTTTTCAGCTTGGGTGCTTCACGTTCCAGCAGGCGATATTTAACAACCCCGCTCTAACGCTGACGGGTCACCGCCACCATCTTACAGCGAACTGCGGCGGGCAAGGAAGGAGGAGAGGGATCTGCAGGCGTTTTCCTCGGAACTTAACTCGATGCGGGCAAACGTGTTCGAGGCGGACCCGGAACCCCACGCCCCGGTGGCCTGTCCCGGGGCGAGCGCCAAGGAGCGCGGACCTCCGAACATCCTAGAGCGGCCGCACGGCCTCCCAGGCGGCGGCGCACTTCCGCCCGCACCAGTTGCCGCCTCGCTGACGGCTGGGTCTCGGTGACGCCTGCCCTCGCTCGCTCCTTTCGCGGGCCTGAGGAGTGGGTGAGTGGGGCCCAGCGCGCTGCAGGGGCGGGGCAGGGTCTGGGCAGTCGCGGAGGACCCAGGCCCGGGAGCGTAGGCGCGCTGCGGCCACCTCTTGGAGCCGGAGCCTCTCCGTCCTCGAGCTCCCGCCGCTCTCGCTGTTTAGCGAGACTGATACTGTCTTGTAGGAGAGAGAGCCTGGGCTCTCGAGTGGCCGGATACCTGGCCTGGCTCTTTCTTGGCCACTCAGTCGCTCCGGGCCACGATTCTTTTAGCTCTGAGATGGAGGGCAGCAGTTTCAGAGCGCTGGTTCTCAACCCTGGCATCCATTAGAATCACTTGGAAAGTCTTCCAACTACTGTGGCTCCAGAATCACCCGGTGATTGTGATATGCAGCAGGACTGAGAACCACTGGCCCAGAGTGTCAAATGACAGGACTGTGGACGTGTGCTACGTCTCAGTACTTCGACCAGAACGTGCACTTCGTCGAAGGTAGATCGTAGTCACGAGAAAGCAAGCAGCCAGCCGTTTTTCGTCAAGACGGGCCAAATCTGGTTTGCTCACTCTTAATTCCTAGTGCCAAGAGTGGTGGATGCCACATAACGGAGCTCCCTAAATATTGATGATTAGATAAATTAATTTCTGATTACTTCTTGCCCTACTGGGAAGGCTTGACTGTTTTTTTTTTTGATATTTTTGTTATGGAAACTTTGAAATATATACGAAAGTAGAATAATACAATGAACTCCCAACTCATTATCAATCTTATTTCATCTGTTCCCTCCGCCTCCACTGGATTGTTTTGAAAGCAAATCTAAAATATGACATTTTATTCATTAAAGTCTTAAGTTTATAAACATGCCATTACCAATCTAATAGGAATTTCACATTATCTTCTACTGTCTACTATCCAGTGTTTAAACTTCCCCAGTTGCCTCTTCCCCACTGTCAGTTTGTCCAAATCAAGACCCAAACAAGCTACACTTGTTGCATTTGGTTAATGTCTCTTAACTCTCATTTAATCTATAAGTTTCCCCTCCCTCTTTATTATTATTTTTTCTTGGAACATACAGGTCATTTGTCCTGTAAAGTTTCCCACATACTAGATTTTGCTTTTTCTATCCCTGAGATATCCTTTAACAAACTGGTATTTAGATCCACAGGTTTTTTTCAGATTCAGTTTCTACTTTTTGGCAAGAAAACCTCATAGGGGTTACTGTGTACTTAAGATTGCCATCTATCAGGGGTAAGACAAGGTCTTGTTTCTCTTTGTGGTGTTAAGATTAATCAGTGGACCTTTTCTGTACAAACTGTACCACACAGTAACTAAATAATTGCCTTGGCAATTGTAGAAAGATGACAGCCAATAACTGCAAAAGGAATAAGAGAATTATAATACTACCTTTTGGCAACCCCTAATGAAATAATGGCTCCTGGCAGTGATCATTAGTAGCTATTAACATCAAGAGAGACAGCCAGACAGTGTGTGCCTAGTGATGAAAGTACCTAATAGCACCTATCAAGTATACTTGGAGGAATGGAGGCAGGGCGGGGATATAGATGAAACAAGACTGGCCATGAGTTGATAATTGTTGAAACTCAGTGATGAATACATAGCAATGCATTATATTAATCTCTCTACTTTTGTACGTGTTTGAAATTTTTCATAATAGAAAGTTTTTAAAAAATGGATTGACTACTTGACTAGTAAGTTTGGGTCAGCCTGATCAATCCATTATAGTTACCTATTAGCCTTTTACTAAGTGGTTCTCAAATTTGACTGCACATTAGAATCTCAGGGGAAATTTTTTTTTTTTAATAGCAACACCCACATCTCACTCAAAGAATTTACTGTATTGCTCTGGGATGGAGCCCAATCATTGATAGGTTTCAGAAGCGTTCCAGGTGATTCTAATATGCTCCAGGGTTGTGTATCACTGGCCTAGATCCATTATTTCTTAGGGGTTGCAAAATGATGATATTCTATCATTCCTCCTGCATTTATTAGCTGCTGCTTTTTTTTTTTTTTTTTTTTAAGCATTCTACACTCTATTTATTCTCACCTCTCTTGCAAACTGCAATCCAATAGGGAAGCCTCTGCAAATTAAGCTGCTTAATTATCAGAGGGAAGCTTGGTCTTGGAGGTGAAAATGTGGAGTAACACCTGGAAGGGACACTAGAGAGAATCTTAAGGTCTGTGTATGGGGTAGAGAGATACATCACCCTTTGGTGTGAGGTGTGTGGGGGGTAGGAGGGGGGAGCGGACTAGATCCTGCAATGGAAAGGAAGACTAGGTGATGTGTAATTAGAAAAGCATGTTCATCCTTATGACACATTTTAAAAAATTTATCAATATTAAATATTTTATTTTATAGAAGTTAATGCTGCTCATTGCAAGCAGAAACAATCCAAAGTTTAGAAATTAATAATCCCCTCTCATTTTAATCATCCCTGAGATAACCAATATTAACAGTGTAGTGTATATATCCTTCCACTCCAGACTTTCTCCATCTTATATAAATGTAGGGACTTGGGAGATTGTTGTTATAAAAATGAGATCATGCCATAGTCATCTGTAACTTTTTCATTGTCATCTCTCCAGACCAATAGTTGCGAACCTAACTATTAGCTGAAGAACAAATAGTTCATGGTATGGATGTACAATAAAATATTCAACCATTTCCCGGCTGGCATATATTCAGATTGCTTCAATTTTTAGTCATCTTAAATCCCACCACAACAAACATCATTCTACATAGATCCTTTATTTATGTAGGGTAAATTCCCGAAAATGGTATTGCTCGTCTAATGGGTATTGTTATCAGCATCATCATTATTATTGGTAACATATATTGCCATATTACTCTCCCAAAACATAGTAGCAATTCATCCCACCACCAAGTTATGTATGAGAGTTATATAAGAATTAGATAAATAATTCTTAGAATTAGTTATATTCTGTTTTCCTCCCTGCCATCAATGTGGATAATCTATAATTGGCTATCTGTAAGTTTCAGTTTATTTGCATGTATTCTATTTGATATACATCTTCCGTCACAGAACTATATCAGAGATGGGAGATGTGCTCAGAAATAGTGAAAGAAAAAAAAACAGTGCCACCAGTTGGCAGAAATCTACCCATTCAACAGGTAGTTGCTGATCACTTACAATAGCAGCATCCTAAGTACTAACCCAGGAGCCCTGGTGGCCTAGTGGTTAAGCTAGGCTGCTAACCCAGAGATCGGCGGCTCGAACCCACCAGCGGCTCTGCGGGAGAAAGATGTGGCAGTCTGCTTCTGTAAAGATTACAGCCTTGGAAGCCCTTTGGGGCAGTTCTGCTCTGTCCTGTAAGGTTGCTATGAGTTGGAATCGACTCGATGGCAATGGGTTTTTTGGGTTTGAAGTCCTAACCAATCATGGACCCTATCATTTGAGAGGGTGAGACATTCACTCAGCATTACTAAGTAATACTCTGAGCGTTACTGTGTATCAGCTTTACTGTAGAGTACTGTAGAGCATTACTGTTGTTTATGGTTGTTCAGGGTGCCCCAGAGCCACTACTTGGAGAACATCATTAAAGCCCATCTCTTGCCCAGAACCTCAACTACAATTTTTAATTGACTCAGCTTGGCTGCTTTGTTTTGTTCTGTTGTTAGCAGTCACACAACATTTGGTAACTTGTGGTTTTAGCCAGTTAGGAGTTAAAATCTTACTTTGGATTTGTGTGGAAAACTATTAGAGAACAGGAATTCGGACTGTTCTGAATAACCAAAAAATAACTAGCAGAGATCTCACAGGAACCTGTTTTTGGTGATTGTGAGTAGTTCTGTGAAATACTCCCCAGGTGGTCTTTCCATTGCAGGGTGGAAGATGTCGATGGATGTGACGTTTCTGGGGACGGGTGCAGCATACCCGTCCCCAACCCGAGGTGCTTCTGCTGTGGTTCTTCGGTGTGAGGGCGAGTGCTGGCTCTTTGACTGTGGGGAGGGAACTCAGACACAGCTTATGAAAAGCCAACTTAAAGCAGGTTAGTGTGCATTAACCTACCTCATTATGATGATTTCTGGTTCTTCATTTTCTTGGCTTTCCTTTGCCTTTTTGCTCAGAAACAGCCCTGACAGTTGGCGTCCACTTCAGTGCTGGAGTCCTGACAAGACTTGGAAGGCCCTCAGTCATCTGTCATCTGGCCATAGCCACTGAGCCTCATTTGTTTATTTATTTACTTTTCATTCATCCTGTAAATTTTGAGAGCAAGGATTTATGTAGGCTTGGGGGAGTGTGGAATGGGCTACATCAGGCATAGTAAATGGAAACTGCCCCAGCAACCCAGTAAAGAGGAGAGGCGCACATACTTATTTCCAACAGGAGGTAATTAGAAGTATCAGAAGAGGGATGCAAAGGGCAGTAAATGTTCAGAGGAGGGGGACATCCCAGAGAAGGTGGTCTTTGAGTTGTTGAAGGATGAGGAGGAGAAGGGCGTTCCAGCCAGAGGGAATAGAGTGAACAAAGGCCCGGCACCAGGGAGACTGAGAGCACGTGGTTAAAAGCCTCGGCCCAGTCAGGCCAATCTGGGTTCCAGTCGCTGCTCTGTCTGGGACTTGTGACTTTAGCAGATCAGCAAACCATTGTTAAGCTTTACTTTCCTTGTGTCAAAAATGGGGGGGGGGGGTGCGGCAGGAATCTACTAAGAAGAAATGTTATGAGAATTATAGATAATGACCCCATCTCTATGTGGTTGCCTCCTTATCATCAGTTAGATCTTAGCTCAAGCGCCATCCCTCAGAGGATTTCTGAACCTCCTGGGTTAAGTAGTTCCTCCCTCACCCCACTCATTCTACTGTTTGGTCCTATTTTATTGACTTCTTAGCATCCTCAATATCTGAAATAATGTTATCTAAATAGTTGTTTCTGTGTTCACTGTCTGTGTCTCTGCACTACAGAGTAAGCTCAGTGGTCAATTATGTATCTAAAAAACCAAACCCATTGACGTCAAGTCAATACCAACTTATAGCGACCCTATAGTACACAGTAGAACTGCCCCATAGGGTTTCCAAGGAGTGGCTGGTGGATTCGAACTGCTGACCTTTTGGTTAGCAGCTGAGCTCTTAACCGTTGCACCACCAAGACTCTAGTAGATGCCTAATAAATACTGTTTAGCTAATGAGTGATAAGATGCTAAGCGCTTAGTTCAGTGCCTCTTATTCATTAGGTCTTGGTAAATGGTAGTTATGAAAGTCGTTATTCCTAGGACTCATCACAGTGCATGGCATTTGATGACTTAGGAAAGAGACTCCCAGGGTCTGAGGATCACTTAGTCTAGTGATGGAACTGATGTGCAAACAGACAGGCACAGAGTGAAGAAGATAAAAAGAATAATGGGGGTGTTTCTGAGAACTTATTGAGCATGAAGGAGGATGACACTAATTGCCTGCATGTTCAGAGAAAGCATCTCAGAGATGGTGACAGTTGAACTAGGATCTAAAAGATGAATACAAGTATCTCCAGGGAGAGGAATAGAGATGGATGTTCCAGGAAGAGATAACAAAGTGAACAAGTCAGGGAGTTTCCAGGAAAGAAATGGCATTTTAGGGAACGTTAAGCCATCCAGCATTTAGTACTTGGCTAGGAGAAAAGAGAAATGAGAATGCTGAAAAAAGAAGTGAGGGCAGACTGTGAAGTCTTCTATGGCCTGCTAAGGTATCTGGACTTTATTATTCTGTTGGACTAAGGAACCATTAAAAGTTTTTAATTAAAGGGATAACATGATTTGACTTGTGTTTTAGGACAGAATTTTCTAATAACAAATAGATTGAGAGAGAGATTAGCATTAGGGAGACCAGTTCGAAGGCAGTTGCATTCATCTGAAAGAGAGGATGAGGACATTGAAGCAGGAAGCACAGTAGGGATGGAGACGAGGAACTCAACTTAAGAGATACTTGTGGAGACAACAGGAAGTGGTGACTGACTGGATGTTTAGGGTGTGAGGAAGTGAAGAACTAAAAGTATTACAAGTTACCAGTGATGATGTCCTGGACCAAAATAGGGAGCCAGGAAAAGAGCTGTTGGAGGAAGGAGCTAACGCATAGAGTTTGGGACACAAGGCCTTGAAGTGCTCACAGTTCAACCCTAATTATATACTGTCTCATGCTGAAACCCTGAGGTGAGGGCAGGTACTATATGCTTCACATCCCTTGGATCACACAAGTGTTCCTTTCATGAGTGCTCTCAGGGTAGGCACAGGCCAGAGTGGAGGCTGTGATATTTAACATTTTAGAGAATAGAGGTTGAGATGGGATAGGGGGTGGATTAAAATAGAAACAAGAAAATGTTAAGTGTGGGTACCAGAGTTTTGGGGATGGGGGTGAATCTTCACTTTTTATTTAATACCCGTATTAGTTATCTAATGCTGCGTAACAAATTACCACAAACTTAGAGGCTTAAAACAACACATATTTATTATCTCATAGTTTCTGTGAGTCAGGGAGTCTAGACCCTGCTTAGCTGGATCCTCTGTTTCAGGGTCTTACCAAGCTGCAGTCAGGTCTTGCCTGGGGCTCTGGTCTCATCAGAGGCTAAACTGGGGAAGAATCTGCCTCCAGCCTCACTCAGGCTGTTGGCAGAATCCTTGCAGTTGTAGGACCAAGTCTGCCATCAGCTCCTAGAGGCTGCCCGCAGTTCCTTGCTATGTGGGCTTCAGCTTCATGGTAGCTTCTCATAGCCAGCAGAGGAAAGAGAGACTCTAGAGTGAATTGCCTTGCAAGATGGAGTCTTACATAGCATAATATAATCACAGCACATCCCTGTGTCCTCTTCTGCTGGTTAGAAGCAAGTGACAAGTTCCATTCACACTCCAATGAAGGGGATTATAGAACGACGTGAACATCAGGAGGCAGGCATCATGGAGTTTACCTTAAATCTTCTTACCATAATACTCTTCTGTAATATTTTATATTTTACAATTATTTTATATATATATTTAAATAAACACAAAGCTAAACCAAAACAAGAACAAAAAGGCCTAAGGGAACCTTTAGTTTACTAAATTTTTATTGTATTAAAAAAAAAAAAAAAATTCTTGACCTCAGAGAGGACGGTAGGATGGTAATCCCAGAGCTCTATCATGGTTCTCTAGCATCTCAAATGCTCCCAGTCTCAAACTGAAAAGAAGCACCCTCAGTACATCCTCGTTTCTCTCAGTAACCTGTTATGGACCATTCATTATTTGATTTATTAAAACCCTTTATTATTATTAATTATTACCCCTGGGGCAATACGTTTTATGAGTTTAATAAGGAAATACCATCTATTTATCTAAACATACTTCTTTTAAGCTTCCATGGTTCTCATACGTAAGCATCTGATTAACAAGTTTCCATGTCTATTTCTTTCATAATTTTAAAGAGTGAGCATAATCCTTCTTTTTTACCTTTAAAAAAGATTACAAAATGATAAAAAGTAATATGAAAGTATAATTTTAAAAAATAATCATAAAAAGCATATATGCTCATTGTAAAAATTCAAACAAAGCAGAAAAGTATAAGTAAGAAAAAGCCTAAATCTGTCGTTCATAGATAAATTTTCTGTGCATATAGATATAGTAATGATATGGGTGTATTTGAAAAGACCAAAACGAATGTCAGAAGAGATTCTGAAACTTGCTGTTGAGCATAGAGTAACTAAAGCGAATGGAAAAAATGATGAAGTAAAAGAGCTGAATGGAAGATTTCAAGAGGTGGCTCGAGAAGACAGAGTAAAGTATTGTAATGAAATGTGCAAAGACCTGGAGTTAGAAAACCAAAAGGGAGGAACATGCTCAGCATTCCCAAGCTGAAAGAACTGAAGAAAAAATTCAAGCCTCAAGTTGCAATATTGAAGGATTCTATGGGCAAAAACACATTACATTACACTACTGGTGGTGCAGTGGTTAAGAGTTCAGGCTGCCAACTAAAAGGTCAGCAGTTCGAATCCACAAGCTGCTCGTTGGAAACCCTATGGGACAGTTCTACTCTGTCCTGTAGGATCGCAATGAGTGAGAATCAACTCGATGGCAATGGGTTTGGTTTGGTTTTGGTATGGGAAAAATATTGAATGATGAAAGAAGCATCAAAAGAAGATGGCGGAAATATAAAGGGTCATTGTACGAAAAAGAGTTGGTCGACGTTCAGCCGTTTCAGGAGGTAGCATGTGATCAAGAATTGATGGTATTGAAGGAAGAAGCCCAAGCTGCACCGAAGGCATTGGCGAAAAACAAGCCTCCAAGAATTGACAGTATCAATTGAGATGTTTCAGGAAATAGATGCAACACTGGAAGCACTCATCTATCTGTGCCAAGAAATTTGGAAGACAGCTACCTGGCCAACTGACTGGAAGAGATCCATATTTGTGCCCATTCCAAAGAAAGGTGATCCATCAGAATGCAAAAATCATCGAACAATATCATACACAAGTAAAATTTTGCTGAAGATAATTGAAAAAAGTTTCAGCAATACATTGACAGGGAACTGCTAGAAATTCAAGCCAGATTCAGAAGAGGACATGGAATGAGGGGTATCGTTACTGATGTCAGATGGATCTTGGCTGAAAGCAGCGAATACCAGAAAGATGTTTACCTATGTTTTATTGGCTATGCAAAGGCATTCGACTGTGTGGATCGTAACAAATTATGGATAACACTTCAAAGAATGGGAATTCCACAACACTTAATTGTGCTCATGCAGAACCTATACACAGACCAAGAGGCAATCGTTTGAACAGAACAAGGGGATACTGCATGGTTTAAAATCAGTAAGGGTGTGCATCAGAGTTGTATCCTTTCACCATACTTATTCAATCAGTATGCTGAGCAAATAATCCGAGAAGCTGGACTACATGAAGAAGAATGTGGCATCAGGATTGGAGGAAGACTCATTAACAACCTGCAAGATGCAGATGACACAACCTTGCTTGCTGAAAGCGAAGAGGACTTGAAGCACTTACTGATAAAGATCAAAGATCACAGCCTTCAGTATGGATTACACCTCAACATAAAGAAAACAAAAATCCTCACAACTGGACCA